AATGTTTTTTTTGTATCAAATAATTTGTAATCTTGAATAATTTAAATTCAAATATTACTTTTAAATTTTTTGTTGTTGTTGAGATATACATACATACCTGAGCTATCATACCAGAGCCAATATTAAAACGTAGTAAAAAAAACTATAGTTAGAAATATATTATTTTTTATTCTACTACCAATCAGTTGAGACAGTTATAAGCAAAAAACCAGTGTCACCTATTTTTATTAATAAGTGATTTTATAATATTTCTTAAAAGTACTAAATTGAATAACTATTTTATTTATTTATTTATTTATTAAAAAATAATAGTAATATTGAACTAATGTTATTCAAATACAATCTATAGCTAATTTATAAAACTCAATACTACCTGTATAAATTAATTTATATAAAATAACCTTTTTAATTAATAGTAATAATAATAATAATAATAATAATAATAATAATAATACTGTATAAACAATTATTAAGTTAAAATTGAAAAAATAATAATTTATATTATTATTAATTGTAATAAGAAAAACATTTTTTATAAAAATTATTTAATTCATTAACAGAATACTGTATATATATATTTTATTAAACAAAAGTTTTTAAATAATATATATAATTTAATTAATTAAAAAAATAAAGTTAAAAATTATCTTTTACATTTAAAGATACTTGAATTATTTAAAATAAAGTTTAAAATTAGATTTTATATTAAAAACACTAGATTTATTTAATATTAAGTTAAAAATTATATTTTACATTTAAAAACACTAGGATTATTTAAAATAAAGTTTAAAATTATTTTTTACATTAAAAAATACTAGGATTATTTAAAATAAAGTTTAAAATTATCTTGCAACTTTTTATGAACTAAATCCCTTTTATAGGTAAACTGTTTCATACGTTTAGCTTTTTGTAGAAATTTATTATTATTATTATTACTATTGACAAAAACAAACAGTTTGCAAACTAATGGGCTATTGTTTAGTTTAAGTTTTCTCATAAATAACGTCCGCCGATATTGAATACGATTGTGTTTACGATAATATCTACCATAGAAATATTCAATCGAAAATATTAGCATGGTCAAATAGTAGCCAATAACCAATAAGGCAAATACACTGCGCCACATATCAATTAATTTTAGACCATAACTAGTATCGTTGACCTGGATCAATTTATCAAATTTATCAGGTTTAACTTGTCTAATTAGGCCCTTTCGAAATTGACATCTAATTCTCTCAGATAGTTTATAATGCCAATACAGACCCGATTCTATACCATTTAATATACTAGAGAGGGGAGGGGGGGTAAAAAAAATAATTTTTATTAACTAACATTAAAAAAAATTAGTTTCTAACTATAGTTAATAATTAATTATATTTTTAAATTTTAATTAATTAAGTTAAAAATTAATATTATTATTTAGTTTGACAAACATTTATTTATTTTCATTTTTAATAATAATATTTAAATCTATCGATTAAAAACAATATAATATTATTATTAAATGTGCGAAAATAATCAAAACAAAAAATTAAATTTAAAAAAAATAAAACAAAATCTAAAACATTATTTTTGTTTAAAAAAAATAGACATTTATACTACTGTAGTAATTATACTATATTTTTACTAATAATAATTTTTAAAAATAATAATATATTATTTTTTTAAAAGTTAGTTTAATTTAATAAAAAAAAATATTTATTAAAATTTAAAAAAACAACTTACAGTTTATAGACTTCCCATTTTTGTCGGACACCTTTATTAATGAAAAAAGCCCTATAAGTGGGCGACAAATGACTATCAACCCTAACCATTGTAGTCAAATCGCCAAATATAATCTGTTTTTCCAATGCACCAATAGATGTGTCCAATATAACTGCCCGACCCTTGACTACCAGTGCTATACTATTGGTAATATTCAAATTGTCAACATTATGCGGATATTGACTGTTATCTAGTAAACGTTGTTCAACTAAACGTCTACTATCGGGTTTATCCACGAAATTATCGACCATCATTTCGCCAGCAATTATTTTAATATCAGGGAACAGTAGTAGATCATCCAGCTTCTGGATCATTGGTTCAATTTTGGGCCGCATATAACTGTTTAGCAAAACACTGGACAAGCACTTGCATAGGACTGTTGTAGACAATAGCCAAATGGCCAGTAGTACGAGGAATGACCGTTTTCTGAACCGTTTTCTAACTACGGGACTATTGTTTTCGATTAGTTGGACCATATGTTGGATAGGCTGGCCAGTGATCGATCGGACTATAAACGTGATTGCCCTGTCCAAGCTAATTTGTTCAGGGTTAGTTATTGAAAACATTGGTGCTGTTATTATTAGTGCCACTGTTATAGCTAACCATACCTATTTATTTTTTTGGATACAATAAATTTTATTAATATATTAAATTATGATTATTAATTGTAAACTTTAACTATTTAAAATTATTATTATTATTTAATATTATTATTATTATTTAATATTATTATTATTATTTAATATTATTATTATTATTTAATATTATTATTATTATTTAATATTATTATTATTATTTAATATTATTATTATTATTTAATATTATTATTATTATTTAATATTATTATTATTATTTAATATTATTATTATTATTTAATATTATTATTATTATTATTTTAATTTATTTATTAATACATACATCCAACTGAAATAAGTAGAAAAATGAGAAAAATACGCCACTATTAACTGGCTTAGTAGTTGTCAAAATTTCAACTAGGTACATTGGCTCGCAGGCTACTACTATACCATCCTCGATGCCATTTTGTTCAACAGTTATCGGATCTAATAATACAGTTGGAAACTATAGACAATTAACAAAAATAATTAAATTATATTATTTATTTTTAAAAAAATAATAATATTCATATTTATGGTATATATTAAACTTTTTTATTCATACAATTAATAGTATTTTAATATAAATTAAAATAAATAAATAAATATTTTTTGTTTTCTTTTTTTGGGAAATTTACTTTAAAAAATCCATTGTTATGCACTTCAAACGTTATGTTGACATTCAAATTACACATAATTTTTTCGACAATTGTATATAAAAAGCTAAATATTTGAAACTAAAAATAAATAATTAAATAGAAATAAAATATTAATAAATTTTACAATAAATTAGTTTTTTTTGAGTATTTTATTAATTAATTTCAATTTAAAATTTCAATACAAACATTTGGCTTATCGGCCATATTATAATCAAATGTTAAATTGCCAGTAGGTGCCCGTCCATTGGGGCACTGGTAGATTTGGCCACTTTTGAATATACTTTCCGTAATAAACTTGCTCATTTTAATATCCAATGCTTGATTAATATTATCATCGACAATATTTGTTACAGGCATAAATAGATTATCCATAATTTTAAATAAATATATATATTTATTTTTTAATTTTTTAAAATAAATTTTTAATAATTTTTTATTTAATTATAATATACAGAGTATATACTGTACAATATATATTATAAACAATATACATATTATACAATTATTGAACTAATTATAAATTATTTTTTAAGTTAATTGAAACAAATAAACATTATTGACTAATATTTTTAATTATATAAATAAGTAACAAATATAATTGAAAATATATTTTTTAAATGTTTAAAAATGCTATTTAATAAAAATTAGTACATATTTTATTATTACTAAATATATTTTGATTCAATCTAAACAATATTTCTATTAAACAGTATTATAATTTTTCACTATATAATTAACAATAAAAATAATAGTTAGTATATAAATCAATATAATATATAACATTATATTTTATTTCTAACAATATGCACATTTAAATATTATCAAATATATCTATCATAATAATTAAACTGTATCATAAGTTAAAAATATATTATTATTATTATTATTATTACATTTCTATAATCATTTAATATCATTTACATAATTCAATAAAATAAGTATTATAACTTTGTTTTTTGCTAATAAATTAAAATTTATTGAATAAAAAATTATCGTTTATATTTTTAACAAATATTTTATACTACTTATAAATAGTTTTTAATTTTAGCAATAAAAATATATTTATAAAAACAGTGTAAAAAATAATACTTTATGTGATTGTGTTTAAAAAAATATTTTATATTTACAATTAAATTATAAATTAGATGCTATGTATATATTTAATATATTTCGCAATATTAAGTATTAATAATAATTATTGGTATATTGATTAATTGATAGTTGATAAAAGATAATTAAAAGTTGATAATTTATTAATTTTTTACCTTGTACAATATTGATAAACAAGTTAAAAAAAATTAATATATAGTATATCACTATTTAATTATTGATTATTAATTATAACTATGTATTAATTTATATAATTTATATGCTAAAATGTTAATAATGATTCTATAGTATAAAAAATATTAAATATTTTATATAAATATATTTAAAATAATTTTATATAGTATATAATTAATTATATATATATATTAATAATGAAATTTTTTGCAACATGTTTAATTATCAAACTTAACTGATGTTTAATAAATTAAAATATAATAATTTTTAGAAAAGTATAATAATTATTTTTTTTAAATTGTAATCACTTTAAATAAATTTTGCTTAAATGTTATATTAAAAAGCAGATTATTATTTGAATGAAATTATTTTATTGATTTAATTTTAGAGAACAAAAATATTTTTACAAATATATTAATATTATTTTCTTAAAAAAACATGTAATATCTATATAACATTAAAAACTTAATAATAAATAGTTTAGTTGTTATAATCAATAATATAATTAGTAATTGAAAGTTATTTATTTTAAAAAAAAAATATAATAATTATTTTTTTTTTAAAAATAAATTATATATTAATAACTTGAAATTGGCAAACAAATAATTTTTTTAAATAATATTTTTTCTTTAAAAAATAATATATATATTAATAAAGTAATAGTTAATAATATTAAGGCCTAACGTGAAATAATACGCTGAAAGGCCATAGCCTGGGCATAGCCAACACTATAGGGTCGCCAATCACTGGGACAGGGATTTGTTTTCATACGTTTTGTTGTTTTTGTTGATCGTTTTTTATTAATTTTAACATTTTCAATATAAAAATTGACCAAGTATCTATATTTTTTAAGCAAATTGCCCAATAGTTTGCGTCCATTTTTATTTTTAATCGATGAAACAGTATTAGCATCGTACTCTTTTGTCCACCTAGGATCAATTTTGTTTTTTTTAATTAATAATTTTTTAATTATTTTTATCATCTAGTTCAGTTGTTAACAAATTAACTTTATAATAAACTATAATTTTAATTAAATTTTGTTTTAAATCGGTAACATTATTATTATTATTATTATAAATACTAAGCAACAAAAATAACAACAAAAATATAATACTGTTTAAAATAAAATTTTTTAATTTATTAAACTAAAAACTTTATTTTACTATAACGTTATAAGCTATTTATTTAAAAATATATTTATTTATTTAATTTTTTTTTTTAATGTATTATCAGTACATACTATAGTTAACAGTTATTATTTGACTTTTTTTTATTAAAAAAAATAATTAAAATAATTAAATATTTATAGTATAGTGTAAACTATAGTACAGTATATACAGTAGTATTACTTACTCTAACATTTGCTCAAAAGTTGACCGACTGTCCGGTTCGCTAGCTTGTTGTAGTCGATTGACATACGTATCCCGTATGAGTTCCTGTTGTTTGACTGATTGGTTCATTTGGCGCATCAGTTGGACAGTCTGCTGACGTTGGGTCTTGTTTTTGCAGAAACTCATCAATAGACTCATGTGTTCCGAACACATCAGCCGAACCATTACCCGCAAGTGATTATTATCGGGAAATATATCATCAAAATATTCAACTATTTTATCATTATATCCAATAGTGTTTCTATATGGGAGTGGATGCGGGGAGGGGGTTAAACATAGATTATTACAGATTATATGTGTGTATGTGTATGTGTATGTGTATGTGTATGTGTATGTGTATGTGTATGTGTATGTGTATGTGTATGTGTATGTGTATGTGTATGTGTATGTGTATGTGTATGTGTATGTGTATGTGTATGTGTATGTGTATGTGTATGTGTATGTGTATGTGTATGTGTATGTGTATGTGTATGTGTATGTGTATGTGTATGTGTATGTGTATGTGTATGTGTATGTGTATGTGTATGTGTATGTGTATGTGTATGTGTATGTGTATGTGTATGTGTATGTGTATGTGTATGTGTATGTGTATGTGTATGTGTATGTGTATGTGTATGTGTATGTGTATGTGTATGTGTATGTGTATGTGTATGTGTATGTGTATGTGTATGTGTATGTGTATGTGTATGTGTATGTGTATGTGTATGTGTATGTGTATGTGTATGTATTACAAGCAAAACTGTTGGAGTTCCTCGTCCTCCTCGGGCCACAACCGGGTTGGGTCACCCATACGCCACGTAGCGGACATTAGGTCATCGATCTCTTGGCAACTATAACTTGGGTTCCCGTCCGATACCCGAACCGTTATTGTAACTATTTTTTTGAAAAATTTATTTATTTATGTTGTTATTTTTTTTTTTTGATAATAACTTACTAATTAGTATTATTGATGTATAAAATATACATAACATTATAAAATAATAATAATATTAATAATAATTGTTTTTTTAAAAAACTAAATCAATAATATTTATTTAACATGTATTTTACTTGACTGGTAGATGTTATGTTTATTTGTTTATTTAATTAAATTACTATAAATAATATTAATATTAATTAATTAATTAATTTTTTTCTGAATATAATATAAATAACGTTTTTATAATATATCAAAAGTAAATAAATAAAAATAAGTAACATTTTTTAATTAAATAAATAATATTATATTTAACATTCAATTGTTATATAAAAAAATATATTAAAATTTTTAATAAACATTTTTTTTAATATTAACAATAGTTATATAGTACTATATTTGTTATATTATTTATTGTAAAAATTATTATTATTTATTTATTTATTATTATCTAGTATTAAATAGATGTTTATTTACTTATTTTAAAAAAATATTATTAATATTAGTATTATATTATATAAAAAACATTTATACAATATATGTTTAAAATATTAATTATATATTTTATATTATTTGCATAAATAAATATCTATTTTTATGTATTATTTATAATTAAAAAAAACTATATTGTATGTTAAACTTTTTTATTATAGATATTTGATATAATTTTTATTTTAAACATTAAATAAGTTTTTTATTTAATTATAAATTTAACTTTTTATCTATACTTTTATAAACTAATTGCTAATTTACTTATTAATACCATTTTATTAGTCTCACTGTTACACATTTGCGTATAAATTATTATCTAAATTATTTATTTCGGAAAAAACAAAACAGTTATTTGTTTGTAAGTTAACAAAAAAAAATTATTTAATGATTAATTTTTTTTATAAAAATAAAGTATACTATAAATATAATATATTATATAATATATATAAGTTAGACAATTATAATTATTTGTGATATTTGTTTTGCTAATGTTATCAAACATTATAATTATTGTATCATAATTATATTATATATATATATATATATATATATTTATTAAATAATAATATACATATTTATATAATCTCTAGAAAATAACTAAATTATAATTACAGTAATATTTTTTTTTAATGATAATATGTTGCAATTATTGATTAATTATACAGTATTTTTACAATACTATAGACAGTATACTAATTATTATTATTTTTTAAAAATATTTTATATTAAGTAATCAAAAACATATCAGTATATCTTTCACATAAAATATTTTATTTATTGTTTTTTTTCATATTATATTATTTGTTAAATAGTATTACAACAACAATTACAACAAAAAGCATTTTTATTGGCAATGAAAACATGTTAGTAATAGACACTAACACTTGTATTCAATGGTCAGTCCGATCGATATGTTTGTTGGGTTTTCTATACCAGTTCTACAAAACTAGTCAACTATACTATTCATATGAGACGACTACCAATGTCCAGACCAGGGCCGACCTACCGGTACCGTTGCCAGCAATCAGCGTATGTTTCAATAAATCCTATTTAGTTAAACCGGTTATTTTCAATCAAATATTGTTGGAAAAAAATTTCAATAATAATAATAATTTGGAGGATTGGTTAGCCAGCAATCATATTGTCAAAAGATATATGAATCATAACCTAACTATTAGTCAACAATTTCAGGTATTGGGATCACCGGAACAGCTAATCAATTGTCGGGTTTATCGTCCGAAAGGCATAACCACTAGCGGGTCGTCAAATGAATCGGTAGTCAACAACAACAACAACTCAACATACATACCGTGTCAGTCGGTTATGGCTTACAACATATCCCTATCGCAGGTTAGCGTTTGCTATACAATGTTTGCACAGTTGAACAACGAACCGGACAGTCGATATAGTATCGGATACGATGTCAATAGCCGTAACGACAGGCTATGGCTGCTGGTAATGGAGTTCCCGGTAGATGTGGACATACAGTACGTCAGAGTACACATACATACCCGACGCCGGTCGATACACGATAGCCGTGAACACGGACACAAAATGATAGCCGTTGAGAACAATGAGGTCAGTCATATGGAGTATAAAAAAGGACGGGTATTGAAAATGCCCGCACCGTATACTACTGCGTGTATTGATTTTGCTAAGAACACTGGCTACCAGTCCCGCTATGATTGTATTAGTCGATGCAAGATTGCTAAGTATATTCAACAGATTGGCGGTTATCCGTCAAGCTATCTGGTCTATGATCACCAGTTGGCCATCAAATTTGCCGATAGATTGCCAACAGCTGCCGCATCCAGTGGTGTCGTTGACGATGATGTGGTCGACCAGTTGGCCATAGTTGACGAACGATTTGCCGAGGAATGTCAGTATAGGTGCAATTCGCGGCCCGACTGTTCCGATGAGTATTTTGTATTTGACGAACAGCGGGGTAAACGCCAATGGTTTCGGCATAGCAATGGCCAACACGGGTTTGTATTGAGCATAAAGTTTCCCTCATTTCCCACTACTGTCTACGAGCACATACCTAAAATGCTATTCGAGGAGTTCCTATGTTTCATAGCCAGTGTCCTGAGTATATGGTTCGGGTTTTCGTTTATACTGTTAACCAGTATCCGTATGAAACACGTGCGCCGATTGTATGGCTATATTACTAACACTGCTCAGGACAGTGGTGTTAGTAGAAGTGGAGTATCTCATACCAGTGTCAGCACTGGTAGTAAATCTAGTAGTAGTAGTAGTAGAAGTCATTGTTGTAGGTGTTGTAATACCAATACTAGGCTAAGCAGAAAGTTTTATAACAAATGGACTAATTATTTGAATACTACTACTCATACTAACAATAATAAAGTTTATAATTTCAGACAAAATAATTATTCAAATAATTATAATAATAATATTTTCTCTAAACGTATTAATTTATTTAATACCGTCTATTAATAATTTATTGGAAAAAAGTAATAATTTTGTAATTAAACTAAATTACTATAAATACAGGTATAATTTTTTTTTTAAAATAATATTAATAAACACTGTATTATTGTTTCACTGCCTTTAACTAAATGTATATTAATTTATATAAATATAAAAGTAAATTAAATGTTTTTATTTATTAAATAATTAATTTGAAAATATAAATTTTATTTTTTATTATCAATATTTTTAGATTTTAGTTATAAATAAAATAATAAATAAGTTTTTACATAATTTTAAAAATATTAAATAAATATATTATACATATTTACTAATTAATTTTATATTTCAACAATAAATTATATATTGTATAATATTGTATAATATATACAGTATTTTATTTAATATTTAGTATAAATATTATTGTATTATAAAATATTATTTCTATTATTATCTACTTTAATTAAATAATTTTTTAAAAAATAATAATAATAACTATACAATAGTATAATAACATTTATTAAATTTTCTACAATATATTTATATATATTTCAAAATTTAATTAATTTTTTTCCAATTTATTTAAATTAATAAATTATATTATTTGTAATAATAATAATAATACTGTTGTAATATTTAAATACATTTTTTAAAAAAGTCATATTTATAGATATATTAGAGTATATCTTAAACATTTATATGTGTTTTTAAACGAGTAATAAATTAAGATAATTATTAAGTTTTTTATTATATATAACTTATTGTTTCACACAATTAGTAAATGAATTATTATTTAAATTATTTATTGAAAAAACTAACATTTTTTAGTTTGTAAGTAATGAAAAAAAATTAATTAATTATTGATTATTATTATTTTTTTATTTAAATTTATTTATACATTAAATAATAATAATATATGTACTATAAAAATATGTAATAATTATTTTGAGATTTTTTTTGTTTGTGAAAATATTGTAAAACTTGTAATTATTTAATTATAATTACAATATATTTTCAAACTAAATAGTAATAATTATAATATTCATCAAAAAAACTAAATAAATTATAATTATAGTAATTTATTAAACAAATATGTGTTGCAATTATTGATTACATATATATATATATATATATATTTATATTAATATATATATTGTACAGTATGTATAGGTATTACACAATTATTTCACATTACAATAGACAGTATATAAAAATTTTTGTTGTGTAAAAATTAATATTTTTATTATCATTAAGTCAATCAAATGTATTTTAATTTACAAAATTTATTTATTTTATTTTGTTTCAATATTATTATTTAATTTATTATTAAATTAAAAACAGTATTACATCTATAAAAAACGTTTTAATGGCAAACATCCTATTAATAGCCATAAGTAGTTGCAGTCAATGGTTAGTCCGATCGATATGTTTGGCCGGTTTTATCTACCAGTTCTACAAAACCAGTCAACTATACTATTCATACGAAACGACTACCAATGTCCAGACCAGGGCCGACCTACCGGTACCGTTGCCGGCAATCACTATGTGTTTGAATAAAACTTATTTAGTAAAATCGGAAATTTTGGACAAACTATTTACGGCTATGAAAAACAATAGCAAATATAATCTAAACGATCGATTGTCGCGCAATCGTCTTATCAAACAATATCTGAACCGCAATCTAACAATTGGTCAACAATTTCAAGCACTGGTAGCACCGGAACAACTGATCAATTGTCTGGTCTATCGTCCCGTAGGTATCAACGGGTCAGTGAACACAACAACAACAACAACATACATACCGTGCCAGTCGGTAACGGCGTACAACATATCAGTATCGCATACATCAGCATGTTTTACAATGTTTGGTCAGCTAAACAACCAACCGGACAGTCGGTATAGTATCCGTTATGATGTCAATACCCGTAACGACAGGCTATGGCTGCTGGTAATGAAGTTTCCCGTAGATTTGGACATACAGTACGTTAGACTACATATGCATACCAGGCACCGGTCGAT